CAAGATATTTATAACAGTATGACCTTCCTCAGACTCTTAGGTTAGGGAAATACTCCTATTATACTGATGAGCTTACATATTTCATTAATAAAACAAAAGTTACTAGGTAATAATTTGCATTGCCTAGTTAACCAATACTACTAGTGTATTTTGTGTAATGTTTAATAATATTAATTCACTTAATCACTTAACTTCCCATTAGTCGTCGATTTGCTCGAGTGGGTGCCAGTAACATCTCCATTTGTCCCTGTCGTGTGCTAGTGTAGCCCAATGGCATCTGTTCGCTCTGGGAACATGAAGAGCCTCAAATCGATCATTCATGCCGCTTGGCTGATTTTTGGTGTTATTAAAACAGTGTCATCAGCAAAGCGGAGGTGGTGTAGTTGCCGACTATGTATCTTCACTCCCATCCTTCCCATTCCAGTCGTCGCATGATGTTCTCGAGGATGGCACTGAAGAGTTTCGGTGAAATGGTATCACCCTGCCAAACCTCTCTCTTGACATCAATGATTACTTCTTTGTAGAATGGTGAGATCCTGGTAGCGAATCCGTAATACAGCTCATGGAGGATCTTGACGTATTGGGCTTGAATGCCCTGGTTGGCTAGGACTTCAATGACTGCTTCCATCTCAACAGAATCAAAGGCCTTCTTTAAATCAATGAACATTAGACAGAGCGGCATCTTGAACTCCCGAGAAACCTCAATAAGCTTGGTTATCGTGTGGATATGGTCGATGGTGCTGAATCCTTTGCGGAACCCAGCTTGCTTGCATGGTTGTCCTTCATCTAGTGTTCTGCCAATCTTATTTAGAATGACTCGAGTGAACAACTTGTAGATGACAGACAATAGGCAGATCGGGCGATAGTTGCCAATGTCATGGATGTCTCCCTTCTTGAACAGTAGTACAGTCCTGCTGGTTTTCTATTGGGACGGAACCTTGCATTCAGACAGGTCGTGTGGCAGCTTCGGCCGAGACTCACGCACAACTGAAGACCCACAGAACAAGATAAGCGGAACTCTCTGAGACCTTGGACTCCAGGCTCGGCAGACCCAGGGACAGAGATTCTCTGCTTGCTCCCACCAACCACAGGTGACAAAGGGATTCTAACCAGGAGCCCCACCCTACCCTGCCCTGTCTGCTTCCACCAACCACCCAGGGATTGGATTGTGCACAGAAGACCCACCCTACCCCTACCAGGACCAGATAAATACCCCACTGGCAGACACTACCGACACTACCTCCACTACCCAGCCACCACCACACTCCAGGACGCTTTCCGTACGCGCGTGGCCGCTTTGCGGCAGCGCGACACATCATAAGACACTAAATACCCATCTTCCGGAATTGTTGTACTATATTTGATAGGGTTGAAATATGGTAACACTTACGAGGGCGATTAGAGGTCGCCCCAAAAGCCTCTATCCCTCTCGGAAAGACTGGCAAGCTACCGAGAGTATTCCAATAATATTAATTGATATATTAATATTTTATAATATATATTGTTACTTACTTTAGGATTAGGAAAGGATGGATTATGATAAGAAATCTTCCCCTATCAAAAACCCCTAAGTTTAGGCTGATCCGCTAGAAAACATGCACACAAAAAAGAATAGTAGGCAAGGATAGAATAGATGACACAGTATCTGCCAGCTGTAAACTTGTGCCAGGCAAACATAGGCTAATACTTTGTAGGGTCTTTTAGATTTAGGGGACAATATAGCCAAATCTAGAATAAACAACTTTCACAATCTTTTATTTATTTATTTTGATTTTGGGTCCTCACCTAGCCATGCTCGGGGCTTGTTCCTGGCTCCAAACTCAGGGATCACTCCTGGAGGAACTCGGTAGACTAGATGCAAGAGAGGTACCTTGCCCGCTGAATTCTCTCTCCTGCGCAAACAACTTTAAATTTTACTCATGCCTACTGATTCTCTGAGAACTACACTAGCCTCTCTTCTCCAGGCCCCTGTGGCATGTTTATATACTTCCTAACGGTCCTTGATGTCCCTGTCAACTCCAACAACGGCTCACCTGTAGGAATCTGCTGCGTTTGGGGGAGAAATATTGCATTATATTGACCTGCCATGAGACACTGAATGCTGCACAGGTGACCCTAAAGCTAGTTCAATCTGCGTGTTTTTCTAGTTCTGTGTTTGTCTTATTCTCTGTGAGTGACCGCAACTGAATGGAGGTTCAAAGTGATAATTGGATTTGGCAGATGAGAAAAAATTTACACATTATAACCAATTATTGTGATCAAAAATTATACCATCTATTAGAAAATCCCAAGTAGTGTGGAATATTTTGGAACCTATAAAAAGTATCTTTCTTTGAACACTCTTGAACTTATTCGCCAACGTGGCTTGGCACATGCCTCAGGCAACCACAAGCGAACATCCGAACTGACAAAACAGTGCAGAGAAGCCATCAAGGATGACCTCAGAAACAGAAGAGCAGCAGTACTGGTAGATGCGGCAGAAGCTGGGGAAAGCATTCGTAATGCCCGCCTGTCCTTCACCAACTACAAAACCAAGATGACTGCCCTCCGACACCATGATGGATCTATCACATCTTCCAGAGGGCAATGGAGAAGATTATTCATGACTTCTACTCAGATCTCTTTAATAGCCACGTCCACTTGCCCACATGCCACATACCACATGATGGATATGTCGTTCCCAATGTTCTCCCTTCCGAAATCCAACATGCCATCTCATCGGTAAAGAAACAAAGAGCACCTGGCCCAGACAAGATCAGACCTGAACACCTGAAGAACTTACCATCAATACTCAATACATTGGCTCGGCTCTTCACACGCTACCTGTCTGAATGCAAGGTTCCATCCAAATGGAAAACCAGCAGGACTGTACTACTATACAAGAAGGGAGACATCCACGACATTGGCAACTATCACCCAATCTGCCTATTGTCTGTCGTCTACAAACTGTTCACTCGAGTCATCCTGAATAGGATTAGCAGAACACTAGATGAAGGACAACCATGTGAACAAGCCGGATTCTGAAAAGGATTCAGTACCATCGACCATATCCACACAATTACTAAGCTCATTGAGGTTTCTCGGGAGTTCAAGATGCCGCTCTGTCTAACGTTCATTGATTTAAAGAAGGCCTTTGATTCTGTTGAGATGGAAGCGGTCATGGAAGCCCTAGCCAATCAGGGCGTACAAACTCAATACATCAGGATCCTTTGTGAGCTCTATTGCGGATTCACTACCAAGATCTCACCATTCTACAAAGAAGTAATCATCCATATCAAGAGAGGGGTTCGGCAGGGTGATACCATTTCACCAAAACTCTTCAGTGCCACCCTCGAGAACATCATGCTACGACTGGAATGGGAAAGCATGGGAGTGAAGATAGATGGTCGGCAACTACACCACCTCCGCTTTGCTGATGACACTGTTTTAATAACACCAAACATCAGCCAAGCGGCACAAATGCTTGACCGTGAATGTGGAAAGGTCGGACTACAGCTGAATCTTACGAAGACAATGTTTATGAGAAACAGCCTTGTTCCTGATGCTCCATTCGCTCTCAATGGAATCACCATCTCCGAATGCAACAGTTATATATACCTAGGTCGAGAAATCAACATGATGAATGACCTGGCACCTGAGTTGCGCAGGAGGAGGAGAGCGGCTTGGAATGCCTTTAAGAGCATTGAAGAAATAACTAAAAGGACAAAGAACCTTCAGCTATGAGCACATCTCTTTGATCCCACTGTTCTTCCTGCATTAACATATGCCTCAGAGACCTGGGCCCTACGAAAACAGGATGAGAACGCTATTCGGGTCTCTCAAAGAGGATTCGAAAGAGCTATGCTTGGAATATCACAATTCACTCAAATGAGAGATAGAATCTGGTGTTCTGATCTTCGTCAATGCTCAAGAATCAGGGACGCTGTCTCATTTGCCAAGACATCAAAAATCAGATAGGCTGGACACGTAATGAGGTTTACAGACAACTGCTGGACTAGAGCCATTACTGATTGGATTCCGCAGGACATCAAAAGATCACGTGGACGCCCACCTACAAGATGGTCAGACTTCTTCGTCAAGACCCTGAATGATCGGTTTGAGGCTCTGCATGTTCCTAGAATGAACAGATACCATTGGGCTACGCTAACACGCAACCGGGATGAATGGAGACGTTACTGGCACCCGCTCGAGTAAATCGATGAATAAGTGATTAAGTGATTGAAAGATAAAAAGAATCAGGAAGAACTCAAGGAACACTCGATGTCAGTTGTAATTGAATATAGTGTGGTCATCTGGATCAAAGTAATAATCCAGTGGGAAACGCACTTGCCTTGCACATGGTTGACTTGAATTCAATCCCTGCCACCCAATACGTATGGTTCCTTGAACCCTTGAAGATTGTCTTCATACATGTCAAGCATTCTACTCACTATAGTATCAACACAGCCCAGGAAGAGTGTGTGTATGTGTGTGTTATGTATGTGTGTTTTTGTGTGTGAGTAGAGAGAGAGGATTTGGGGTAGCCCTAGTGATACTCAAGTACTCCTGTCTCTGTGCTCAGGAGTGACGCCTGGTGGTGCTCATGGGACCATATGTGGTGCTGGAGATAAAACCAGGGTCAGTCACATGGAATATTAATATATTAACCCCTACATTATTTCTCAGTGCTGGAGCAGTGGTGTTCATTCTACTGTTGAGCGTGCACACTCTGTTTTTAATTTCATCTCCTGAATCCTTTGTTAGTGACACCTGTTTGTTGCTTTCTTTTTTCTGCTTTCATTGCTTCCTGATTTTATTGGCTGTCCATTCCACTGTTTCTTTCATGGCTTCCTTTAATCTACTGGGTGCCTGTTTCATCGTTTCTTTGAGTTCAATAATCATCCTCAACATTTCATCTCAGAATTCTTTATTGAATAGATTGTATTTGTTGGTATTCCCTATTGAGGCTTCTGAGCTCTTTTCTTCAAGCCCTCCTTGTGGTGGGGATTTGTGCCTTTTCCTCATGCTGCTTTGGTATTTTGGTATTTTGGTATTTTTAACATTGATTCGTTCTGGGACACCATGTTCTCGGCCAAGTCCAGCTGCTCGGGGTTATACTGGTAGCCGAGGGTCCGGTCCCCGTAGCCGTCCTGCCAGGCCTCGGCCTCGTCCACTGTGAAGTAGGGCCTCTTGGCGTCCTCGTCGTACTTGGGGTGGGGGCCCCCCAGTTTGCGCTCGCCGCAGCCCCCACCGCCGCCCTCCTCGTCGTCCTCCTCCTCGTAGCTGCCGCCGCCAAGGGGGCCCGGCTTCTTCTCATCGTCTGAGTCCTTTGGGTACTGCAGCTTCTGGGCCATGGGCGGATGGTGCTGCGGGACCCCCGCCTTGCTGTAGTCATTGCCATACACGTGCTTCTTGGTGCTGTAGTCGCCCTTGAAGGTGTGACGCCAGCAGCGCAAGGCCACCACGATGCCGCCCACCACCAGTAGCACCAGCAGGATGCTATCACCTTGCACTACTACTCGACACTACTTCCACTACCCAGCCGTGGCCACACTTCAGGACGCTTTCTGGACCCGAGCGGCAGCTTTGCTGCCGTGCGACACATCATAAGACACTAAATACCCATCTTCCGGAATTGTCGTACCGTATTTGATAGGGCTCAAATATGGTAACACCTACAAGGGTGATTAGAGGTTGCCCCAAGAGACTCTATCCCTCTCGGAAAGACTGGCAAGCTACCGAGAGTATTCCGCCCGCACGGAAGAGCCTGACAAGCTATCTGTTGTGTATTCGATATGCCAAAACCAGTAACTACAACTGGTCTCATTCACCTGACCCTGAAGGCTTCACCGACATCGCAGCACTGAGAAGGATGAGAAAGGAGAGGCCGACAAAATCTCAAGGCCGACCTAGGCTGCCACAATGAAGGAAGACAAAAATGATCATCTGTACTTTCAATGCACGTACACTAGCATCAGATACATCCATCGAGGACCTGATGGTACAAGCACGAATGATCAAGTACGATATCATTGGTCTGACCGAGACAAGAAGGCACGAATCTCACCATGCCGTTTTCGACACTGGAGAAGAATTGTTCCTCGGAACATGCGATAAAAGAGGTGTTGGAGGCGTCGGTGTCCTTGTCAACACAAACTTGGCCAAGAGCATTGATTCATTCGAATGCCTAACAACCCGAATCGGACATTTACATTTGAATAGATGTGGCTCACTGCCTGCAGTTTCTATCTTCGTTGTCTACGCGCCAACATCTCATTATGATGAAAGAGAAATCGAGAAGTTCTACATGGAGCTAGAGAAGTTCTATAAAGAAGACCACACCTTCTACAAGATCATTGTGGGTGATTTTAATGCCAAGATAGGACCGAGAAGATCAGCTGAAGAACTTCACTTCCGGACCCATGGCCTAGAATGGAATGAACAGGGTGAGAGACTGTCTGAGTTCATCATGTCGACCAAGACCATTCATGGTAACTCACAGTTCCAGAAGGTAGAATCTAAACCATGGACATGGGAGTCTCCCGGTGGACGATTCCACAACGAAATAGACCACATCATATTCAATCGACGGTTTTGCCTGACCGATGTCGCTGTTGTTCCAAAATTTCGAACGGGATCGGACCACCGTCTCCTTCGTGCAAAATTCTACTTCACAGAGCGGGGAGAAAGGGCGGCAAAGTTCAAAAAGAGAACTCCCAGAACGATCACCAACTGGGAACTGTTTAGTACTATTGCGGCAACATGGGAAGATGTCATTGTTAACAACATTGACGAGGAATACGATCGACTGGTTCAGCACCTCCATGAATGTGCGAGGAACGCCAAGAGAGAGATAGCCACAAAAAATCGCCTATCTTCAAAAACTCTTGAGCTAATTCACCAGCGTGGTTTGGCACATGCCTCAGGCAACCGCAAGCTAATGTCTGAGCTCGCAAAGCAGTGCAGAGATGCAATCAATGAAGACCTCAAAGAGAGAAGAGCAGAAGTACTGGTAGATGCAGCAGAAGCCGGGAAAAGTATTCGTAACGCCTGCCTGTCCTTCGCCAACTACAAGACCAAGATGACTGCCCTCCGATGTCCTGATGGATCCATCACATCCTCCAGAAAGGCAATGGAGAAGATTATCCATGACTTCTACTCTAATCTCTTCGACAGCCATGTCCACTTGCCGACATACCAAATTCCACAGGATGGATATGTAATTCCCAACGTTCTCCCTTCCGAAATCTGACACACCATTTTGTCGGTAAAGAAACAAACAGCACCCGGCCCAGACAAGTTCAGACCTGAACACCTGAAAAGCCTGCCGTCAGTACTCATCAATACACTGGCTCGGCTCTTCACTCGCTACCTGTCTGAATGCAAGGTTCCGTCCCAGTGGAAAACCAGCAGGACTGTACTACTGTTCAAGAAGGGAGACATCCATGACATTGGCAACTATCGCCCGATCTGCCTATTGTCTGTCATCTACAAGTTGTTCACTCGCGTCATCCTAAATAGGATTGGCAGAACACTAGATGAAGGACAACCATGCGAGCAAGCCGGGTTCCGCAAAGGATTCAGCATCATCGACCATATCCACACGATAACCAAGCTCATTGAGGTTTCTCGGGAGTTCAAGATGCTGCTCTGTTTAACGTTCATTGATTTAAAGAAGGCCTTTGATTCTGTTGAGACGGAAGCGGTCATGGAAGCCCTAGCCAATCAGGGCATTCAAGCCCAATACATCAGGATCCTCCGTGAGCTGTATTGCGGATTCACTGCCAGGATCTCACCATTCTACAAAGAAGTGATCGTTGATGTCAATAGTGGGGTGCGGCAGGGTGATACCATTTCACCGAAACTCTTCAGTGCCACCCTCGAGAACATCATGCAACAACTGGAATGGGAAGGAATGGGAGTGAAGATAGATGGTCGGCAACTACACCACCTCCGCTTTGCTGATGACATTGTTTTAATAACACCAAACATCAGCCAAGTGGCACAAATGCTGGCCGACTTTGACTGTGAGTGTGGAATGGTAGGACTACAGCTGAATCTTACGAAGACAATGTTTATGAGAAACAGCCTCGTTCCTGATGCCCCATTCACTCTCAATGGAATGACCATCTCCGAATGCAACAGCTATGTGTACCTAGGTCGAGAGGTCAACATGACAAATGACCTGGCACTCGAGCTGCGCAGGAGGAAGAGAGTGGCTTGGAACGCCTTCAAGAACGTCGAAGAAATAGCTAAGAGGACGAAGAACCTCTGGCTCCGGGCACATCTCTTTGATTCCACTGTTCTTCCTGCATTAACATATACCTCAGAGACCTGGGCCCTATGCAAACAGGATGAGAACGCTATTCAAGTCTCTGAAAGAAGAATAGAAAGACCTCTGCTTGGAATATCACGTTTCACTGAAATGAGAGAAAGAATCCGGAGTTCCGACATCCGTCGACAATCAAGAATCAGGGACGCTGTCTCATTTGCCAAGGTGTCGAAAATCAGATGGGCTGGTCACGTAATGAGATTTAAAGACAACCGCTGGACTAGAGCTGTTACCGACTGGATTCCACGGGGTGTCAAAAGACCGCGTGGCCGCCCACCTACCAGATGGTCAGACTTCTTCGTGAAGATCATGAACGATCGGTTTGAGGCCCTTCATGTTCCCGGAGCGAACAGATGCCATTGGGCTACACTAGCACGCGACAGGGACAAATGGAGACGTTACTGGCTCCTGCTTGAGCAAATCGACGACTAACGGGAAGTTAAGTGATTAAGTGATTAACACTGATTCCTGACTCATTAAAGCTGGCGTGAAACTGAGAAGTGTGGCGTTCTGGGCGCACGGAGGTCACTTCAGGAAGGACGGATGGTCAGTTCCGGAACCCTGTTCATGCGTGGGCCAGCGGAGGGGAGGGGATGTGGCTGGCTTGAACGAGGCTCATTTTGGAGGAGAGCCGGAGTCCTGTTCTTTCTGTGACCGCCCAGAAACTCCTCGCCTCACTCTCTCAGAGGGGCCCTGGTGTTGCTTCCAGACCCCAGGCTGGTTTCCACAGCAAGTGCCTCCAGGGAGTGTTACCCGAGACCCGCCTCACACTGTCACCCTGACGTCCTTTGGCTTGTGGGGGACTTTCCCCAACCGTGAAACCCTCTGTCTCTCCTCCCATACATACATACTCGCACATTCCGGTTGATGCTGGGAGGGAAAACCCCAACATTTGCAAAAGATGCTTTTATAAATTATTTCCAATACCCTCAACTCTCTGGAAGAGCACAACCTTAAAGTTGTGTAGCAGACTTTTGTTCTCTTGAGTTTGTATTTTTTTAAATTTTTTTATTAGTGAAACACCATGAGGTACGGTTATAGACTTACAAATTTTTGTGCTTGGGTTTCAGTTATACAATGATCAAGTATCCATCCCTCCACCAGTGCCCATCCTCCACCACCACGGGTCCAAGCACCCCTCCCACCCCTATTCCCCCCACCCCACCCTGCCTCTTTGGCAGGGCATTATTCCCCCTTGTTCTCTCTCTCTCTTCTTTTGGGTCCTGTGTTTTGCAAGAGAGGCAATGAGTGGCAATCATGTTTGGTCTATAGTCTACTTTCAGCATGCTTCTCCCACCCTGGGAGGATCCTCACAACACCCTTTATTTGGTGCTCTCTTCTCTATCTGAGCCTCCTTTTCCCCTAGCACATGTGAGTTTTTAATCCTCTGCACTTCAAAAAGGGACTTTTAAAACACACTATCCAGCAGGCTTCCATCAGCCATGATGAAGAGCTCCATCTAAATTAGGTCTGAGAGTCGCGTCCTTTAAACACCATCAAGACGAGGTGATCATCAGCATTTGGGTTTAGGAGTGGGGGGCGCCATCATGGTTTTGCAAGTCTTTTCAACTTGTGGCACCCACAGTGGTAAACCTGATGGTAGTCCTTGGGGAAGGCAGCCATTGCCACCAATAGTTGGCTGCCTTTAAGTCAAGGAAAGGGGGTCCATTGCTCTGAGGACGCTTCTTTCTTCTGTTCTTCTCTTACAAATGCCCCGTGAAGGCACGAACCTTTCACTGTTGTTGTGTATGGAAACTGAATCCATGATGGCTGTCAGCCTGAGGTACCATAGCAGGCATGTAGCATGCACACCTGTGGGTAGCCACCTGAGCTCTAGGCCATCTGTGAGGCCCAGTGGTCCCCAGTCCCTTGCTTGTCAGAGGCCAAAGGGCCATAGTCTCTTACCCTCTGCATGGAAAACTTAGGAGTTTATTTTTGCTCTTTCTGAATTTGGTGCCATGTTTTTTGTTAGCAACTCCTGACTTGAACAAACATGAGATGAATTCAGTTTTTTGTTTGTTTGTTTGTTTTTTACTACTTCATGAACTATTGGTTGATTTACCCAAAGAATTGTCTGCCGTGGGTTTGATTCTAGGAACTGTCCCCAGCCAGAGCTATTTTGTAATGTCGCCTAACCTTCAGAAACCTGAGTATAGATTCTAAGTAC